CTTCCCCGCGTCTGTATTGCTCATTCACATCTCCCTGTGTCCTGTGTGTCCATGATTATACATGTTCCATGTGTTGAACACCATACCTGTGTTTGCGTTGTCTCTCTCTTAAAATCATGCACGTCGTGATCATGTTCCCAGATGAACCTTTCCTCCTTCAATGTCTCCAGATTAGTTCCGGGATAACCGTTCATCTTTGGGAGCGCCAGTACGCCAATTAACGCTGCCTATTTCGAGGATGAGATCCTCGTCGGTTGTAGGCCTATACCAATATTCTGACAGCTTCCATGTTTAAGTTTCTAAAGACTATCAGGACGGTGGCGTGCCCTGCGCCTCGGACGGTGGCGTGCCCTGCGCCTCGGACGGTGGCGTGCCCTGCGCCTCGGACGGTGGCGTGCCCTGCGCCTCGGACGGTGGCGTGCCCTGCGCCTCGGACGGTGGCGTGCCCTGCGCCTCGGACGGTGGCGTGCCCTGCGCCTCGGACGGTGGCGTGCCCTGCGCCTCGGACGGTGGCGTGCCCTGCGCCTCGGACGGTGGCGTGCCCTGCGCCTCGGACGGTGGCGTGCCCTGCGCCTCGGACGGTGGCGTGCCCTGCGCCTCGGACGGTATTCTTCTTCCACCCCCCCTCCCCCCCCCCCCAAGCATCGGGCCAGGAATGATTATATTCACCCGCCGGTCCTTCTAATATTCCCAATATTTGGAGAAAAAATATATCTCAGTCTTACCATCTCTGGTACCGCTTGGACTGGACGGTAGAGGGACGGTCTCTCTTTATGCAGATCGGCGTTCAATCCTGACTCCTTCCAAGTGCTATATATAGTCGTAAATGGCTTGGGGCTTTCTAATGAAATTCCCTTCCGTTCTGGGTCTTCAGTCCTAGGAACTAATACTCTTTAAGAGGCCTAATATAGTACATATGTGCTACACTAGACCTAGGAATATTTAAGTTAGATTTTATCTTTATTTTCACCCGACTATAAAGGTGAGAGGGGTACCACAGGGGTCCATTTTGGGATCAACCCTTGTTAATGACACAGATGAGAATATTAAAGCCGCATCATCATATTTGCAGATGACAAAATCTATGGTGAAATGGGAAGTAAAAACATAAGAATGAAGGTAATTGCAGAAGGCCTATTGGCCCATACGAGGCAGCTCCTATTTATATCCACCCAATCTCATTCATATATATGTCTAGCCTACGCTTGAAACAATCAAGGGACCCCACTTATATTATGTTACACGGTAATTGGTTCCTCAAATCAAATCTTTCATAGTGTATCCTCTTGTGTTGTGAAGGCTTGTGTTCCTCGAGTAGTTCCTGTGTTACTAGTGATCTTTTCTTCTGTAGTTCCTTGTCGGCGTCTCTCACATTACTCAGTGTCTCTTGATGTATTTAAGTTTTCTAAAATTTTGCCCCGAGGGGCGAGTTTATTGGGCAGCGCCACTCATCTTGTGAGTGGACACACCGCCATAGTGACAGTATTGGGCAGCGTCACTCATCTTGTGAGTGGACACACCGCCATAGTGACAGTATTGGGCAGCGTCACTCATCTTGTGAGTGGACACACCGCCATAGTGACAGTATTGGGCAGCGTCACTCATCTTGTGAGTGGACACACCGCCATAGTGACAGTATTGGGCAGCGTCACTCATCTTGTGAGTGGACACACCGCCATAGTGACAGTATTGGGCAGCGTCACTCATCTTGTGAGTGGACACACCGCCATAGTGACAGTATTGGGCAGCGTCACTCATCTTGTGAGTGGACACACCGCCATAGTGACAGTATTGGGCAGCGCCACTCATCCTGTGAGTGGACACACCGCCATAGTGACAGTATTGGGCAGCGCCACTCATCCTGTGAGTGGACACACCGCCATAGTGACAGTATTGGGCAGCGCCACTCATCTTGTGAGTGGACACACCGCCATAGTGACAGTATTGGGCAGCGCCACTCATCTTGTGAGTGGACACACCGCCATAGTGACAGTATTGGGCAGCGCCACTCATCTTGTGAGTGGACACAACGCCATAGTGACAGTATTGGGCAGCGCCACTCATCCTGTGAGTGGACACACCGCCATAGTGACAGTATTGGGCAGCGCCACTCATCCTGTGAGTGGACACACCGCCATAGTGACAGTATTGGGCAGCGCCACTCATCCTGTGAGTGGACACACCGCCATAGTGACAGTATTGGGCAGCGCCACTCATCCTGTGAGTGGACACACCGCCATAGTGACAGTATTGGGCAGCGCCACTCATCTTGTGAGTGGACACACCGCCATAGTGACAGTATTGGGCAGCGCCACTCATCCTGTGAGTGGACACACCGCCATAGTGACAGTATTGGGCAGCGCCACTCATCCTGTGAGTGGACACACCGCCATAGTGACAGTATTGGGCAGCGCCACTCATCCTGTGAGTGGACACACCGCCATAGTGACAGTATTGGGCAGCGCCACTCATCCTGTGAGTGGACACACCGCCATAGTGACAGTATTGGGCAGCGCCACACATCCTGTGAGTGGACACACCGCCATAGTGACAGTATTGGGCAGCGCCACACATCCTTTGAGTGGACACTCCGCCATAGTGACAGTATTGGGCAGCGCCACACATCCTGTGAGTGGACACACCGCCATAGTGACAGTATTGGGCAGCGCCACTCATCCTGTGAGTGGACACACCGCCATAGTGACAGTATTGGGCAGCGTCACTCATCCTGTGAGTGGACACACCGCCATAGTGACAGTATTGGGCAGCGCCAC